AGACAGAGCGGGGTGTGTGTGTTCGAATGCAGATCACTACCTTGTACTAAATAGAGTTGTGCCATTGTCAGTTTGATGCCAGACGCACTCTCTGGATTCTGATCGGAGAATTGCTGCAAAATAAATAAAAAAAAGAAGAAGAAAAAGATCAGTTAACAGAATTAATGAAACTATTAATTACTGAAGGACAAAATACAAACATTTTCATCCAAACCCAATAGTGTTGTAAGTGTTTTAGGGCATCTTTTTTTTGTATCCCTTTTTGTATTCCCATCTTCACAGTTAAGCATCACTTTTAACCGGGAAGACATTTTTCAGTATTTTTAAAAACAACGCAACCACAGTGAAAACATTTCGTAGATGAATTCTTGTAAAAAACAAAACAAAAAAAAAACTGTGAAAAAAGCAAATCTTTCAGTACTTTTTCCTGTTTCTATACTTTTTAACATTTTCATTGAAGGATTTTTAAAGTGCGATATTAACTATATATTTAATCAGCTTTCACCACTGTGATTTTTTAGGTTAACTGGTGCATCATTTGATCATTTTCTCATAATCAGACAAAAGGAGGAGAATGTGTATCGGTTCTGATAATAAGGAGCAGTGTGCATCATTAATACCTGGAGCAGCTCTATGGCCCTGCTGTGCTGCTTCTCTCTGCACAGCTGAGCCACCTGGATAAGGACTGGCCGTGGATGTCCTGGATTTTGAGCCTGAAGACTGGATGACAGCTTCCTGCACTGGTCAGCCTGTTAACGGGCAAAAGCACCATCAGTGTGAAAATAATTACCTATTATTGATTATTTTTCATTCCTCCTCCAATCACACCCGTACCTGGTTAGTGTACATGGCCAGCAAGGCTTTGTTGAAGTCAATGGCCTGCAGCTGTTTCTTTGCCAGCTTGTACTCAACACCTTCAGCATTCGTCAGCTTCACCTTTTTCTTTGAGTCAAACACGTTTTGGTCCTGAGGAAAGAGACCGAGCCTTAGCACCAGCGTCGTGGCTGAAATTTTAGTTTTATGATCCCTGTTTAGCGTCTGAAAGTGGATTTCAGGGAGGTTCAAACCCACCTTGTTTATGGTGATGATATTGTTGGCAGTCACAGCAAGCAGCCCCACGTCAGATGGCCTGAAATTAAATCAGAGAATTAGAGCAAGCTGAAAATCTATTTAATAACTTAATGCCTGCCTCTAGATGCTTCTGAACTGTCTAAATCCATCCCCATCATCTTTTCTGGGACTAAATTTGATGCGATGACGCCGCAACTCACTTGAGCTTGAT